CTTAGACTGCTTATGTTATTAGGAGATCCCTATAGGTGAATGCGTGATGATACATTATTTGATATGTATTCATATGATTGTTAAGTCAAACGAAGAAATTCCCGACAAGGCTTTGAACATGACAAATATAATGCATATTGTTATTTCTAACGTGTGTGTTAGTGTTTCAGATAAATATAAGAACAAACTGAAAAACGGAGTACGCATTATTGCACATACCATGTCTGGTTGAGCTATACGAAACATCAGACGAATTGATCAAGCATCAAGACTAAAGCCTGACAAAAGCTAGACGAAAATACAAGACAAGGCATACTACCAGTCAGAATCTTAAAGTACTAGATGAAAGGCCAAAACAAGCATCAAACAAGACTAAGCAAGAACAAGACCAAGTTAGAGCCTAATGGTCAAATAGACGAAGTTCAAAATATTAGACGATGGATAAGCTAAGGCGAAGAAGTCAAACCAGACGAAAGGGAAGGTCAAACCAGATAAAAGGAAAAGTCAAAGTCTATCTCTTAGATAGAGACTCAAATTCCAGACATAGATGAAGAATATTGAAAAGCGTCTAAAGTCCACTATTCACAATGAGGAATATCATATATCATCTACATTCATAAGAAGAGCACATGGAGTCATCAAAAATATGAAAAGAAAGAAGAAAAATAGAAGAGCGCGAATTCACAAGTCAAAGCTGCGAGTGTCAGAGCAAGTACACCTACTTTTTAGAAAAAGACAACGCTTCTGCAGCTACACTGATGGAAAGAGAAAAGAAATACCTAGGTTATGATTGAAGTCAGACATAAAAGTAAACAAACTACGCAAAGGACTTCACGTAACTCATATTTGGCAAGAAAACATTTAGTGCAAGATCAAATGCATTAAATGAAAGATCTACATAGCCATGAACGAACTGCTATCCGCACCAACGGAAAGCTCCGCTTCAACGGACACATTTAAATTCAAACAACGGGCAGATTTATCACAAGGCTATAAATATCAAGACCTGAGAAGAGAAGAGTAGAGAAGTGAAGAAACTAGAAAAGCAAACGTCAAAACAATCTTACATCTCTTCCTATACAGTCTTGTATATCTGTGTAAAAACTAAAGATAACTTATCTTAGTGAGTGTAGAAACCATGCCATCCTCTCTACGAGAGTTATATACACACTCTAAACACATATCCTTATAAAACTAAGGTTGAATACCTTAGCGAGTGTAGAAACCATACTATCCTCTCTGAGTGTCATATACACACTCAAAATATTTATCGTTTGTAAAGCCTGAAGAGGCTAGTGAAAGAATACTTGGAGAACCAAAAGTGGTTTAAGAATATTAGCGTCAACGAGTGAAGTTGACAAAACAGGAGTGGTTGAGAATACTTGGGAAACCAGAAGTGGTTTAAGAATACTAACGTCGATGAGTGAAGTTGACGAACCAGAAGTGGTTGAGAATACTTGTAATCCGTTGTGATTAGTGGAACCCTTTAGTTGAAGGAGACTAGACGTAGCTCAGGTCAAGTGAACCTGTATAGAAACCTTGTGCACTTTTTATTTATTTTCAGACGAAATTTTATTTAACTATTATATCACTGGAAATTTTGCCCACTAATTAAATCCTTTTTACAGTAACCATTTTCAGAAGAAAAATACATCTGTTCAACTCATTACTTAGAAAAACATTTTTACCTATAAGAAATCTCTTCTTCAAGTAGACGATAAACCATCAGACTGAAAAAATCTTTTTCTGAGCCAACCGTGCACAATTTTAAGTGTTCAAAGTAATATTCTCATTAGACGAAAAATAGTCTCTTTGCGAAACATTTTTTAAAACTCCTTCGTTCACACACATTCAACCCCGCTTTTGTGTGTTTTTCCGCTAACTTCAATGATGTATGTTGTGGTGTTCATATGCATTGTTGGATGTCTTGTTTGACATGGTTTGGATACGTTGACTTTAGAGTGTTTAACTTTCATATATGTTTTTGGAATGATGTTTTATGTTATAAAATTGTTTTCTATCTTTAAATGTTTTTTAAACTCTAGCTCACCCTTTTGTTTTCATATTGGTTTGAACTGTGATAATTATATTTTGTATAAGAGTAGATTATGGTTAGACTTGAGGAGCTATTGCTGGTAGGTGGTGTGAGCTTTTGTTGGTGTTAGTGCTTCTTGATGTAGTTTGTATAGTTGTACTTGACCGACACTAGGACATAGAATTATTTTGAGATTATTGTATATATGTATATAGCTTGTCTATATCAATGCATATATTTCTTTTTTTAACTTTTATACTCACGTTCTATATATATGTATGACATATTCCCCCATTTAATCTTGTATGTTCTAATAATCTAGTATTTGCTGCTAGTAGTGATTTCACATAGTATAATGATCATGGCAGGTCATTACATATTATGATCTGAATACAATAAACTAATATTTTAGCATGTGTATTTTACTGGTTAAATATTTATTATATATAACTAAATTTTATAATAAATTATACATACAAATAAATTCTATATTTGAATATATAAATTATATTTAAAATTTGTAAAAGTTAATATTTTTAAAAATATAAATTATATTTTGATTTAAGTAAATAGTTTATATTATGACACATGGTTATTTTTAATTATTGTTAATTTATTTTAAAAATATTAAAATTTTAATTTATAAATAACATGACAAATAAAAAATTGAATTGGTTAATAAGTCAAAGGAATTTCTAGAAATACGATCTCATTAAAAAATAACTTCTAAAAATGTTCTTGTACAAGATAATTATTCACGTTTAATATATAGAGGTGAATTATAAAAAATTAGGGATTATATTAATAGTAAATTTGTATATGTCAATAATTAAAATAAAAAATTAAAATTTAAGAACAATAATTAATTACTATTTTTAAATGTTAGAAACTATAGTGACCATGTCTTACAAAGAGGTGATCAAAATGATAATTTACTCTAAGAGTAACCCCTTGTTTGGTAACAAAGAAATAGAGTGGAAATAGAGGTGTGAAAACAATAATAGATATTTGTTATAGTAGAAATAAAATGGTGAGATTCACTAACTTTTTATTTTCACCTCAATAATGAGTGAAAATAGCGAGGAGAAGATATAACTCACATTTTATGACAAGTAAAAACGACCACAATCCTTTTTAATATTTTTTTTCCTGCAAATGTCGGGGATTTTTTGACTGTCACAAATCTTTTTTTAATACTTTTTCAAACAGCAACCGTTTTAAACCGCCACAATATTATTTGATTAATTGATTAAAAATGTACATTCCATTAAGTAACGGGTGATACAAAATTTGTATTATTATCATCTAATTATTAACAAAATTTTAATAATTAATTTTATATTTTTTATTTCTCTTCACTTATTTCTTTTCCCTTTTAACAATCACACCACAAATCTTAAATACAAAATGTAGGAAAAGCACCATGTGATGGAGACATGGATTGGTTCAACCTTTACATAGACACAGGCAAGTTGGCCCCTACTTGCATATTTGTCCATGCTATCACTGTCTCTATATCGTGTTCTTTAACCAATTAAAGATTCAATAAGCAATTGAGTGCCGCAGGGAAATGTAATTTCGTGCCATAATATCTTCCAGTGGCCACCACCACCACCATCTGCACGTCCTTTTTCTTTCAAAGCGATCCATGCAACCCTTTTGTGTTGGTAGCAAAAGAAAATTACAAAAGCAACATGCATCTAATATGTCCTCTCTTATTTTTCTGTCGCATCAGATTCCTCTGCATGCCAGCTAAGTCACCCCTGTCAGATTTGGTCACTTTCACTCATTAAGACACTTTGACATTTTTTTGGTCTAGCATGCATGTTTACTTAGCTTTATTGTATACTTAATTAAACCCTACATATAGATCCCTCGTTGATTCTCCCCATTAATCTTTCTAACTTGATTTACCTACCAACTAACTATTTTCAGCTTAGCAATTTAAGTTGAAATGACACAAGCATTTAAAAGATCGCTGGATCTTTGAACTCAAAGGGAATTTCGTTACACACTTCCACTATATAGAAAATGGAACACTTTATTATTCTATTTCATATACCACGTTTTATGTTCTTATAATAACATTAACATTTAATGTTGGAAAACCCACTTCCTTTAGTGATGAAATTATGAAAGAATATGTAAATGAGAAATAATTTTTATTTTATAAATTGATTTTGTTAGGTTAAATTAATCTTATAATTTACTTTATTAAAATAGTATTAGAGTATATCAAAGTTCATATTCCAACAATTTATTGCTTCTTCTTAAGTCTATTGTGTTATCCCTATCAAGTTTTTATTAAATCACACATAAATGTCTCAGTCCTACAAATATTATGTTTAAGATATCCGATTCTTAATGCGAGTGAAATTTGTTAAAGATCTCATATTAATTAATGATAAGATCACAATAATATATATAAATAAGTAATTTCTATCTTATAAACCAATTAAAAAGTTAAGATTCTTAAAATTTAAAGTCTATAAATTAGATCTTGTATTATTAAACCATAACTATTAGATATATGATAAGAATTGTCAGTATGTGGTGATGTATGGTCTTCATCATTATGCAAATTGGAAGCCAGTTCCAATCAAAGCTTACGCGTTTTAAACAAAATTAGTTGCTCCCAATCGGATCACAGCTACAATAAAAGGAATGAGACATGCAACAGATGTTACAGCCATGCAGGGGAGAGTGAGATTGATGGATCGAGCATTAACTAAAAGTTCATTCCATTCCATGCCCCTAAAATTAGGCCTGCCCCACAACACAAACCCTGCCAAACCTAAACAAATCACCCCCACATGACTCTTTGGATTATTGCCTTTATGATCCAAGACACCTACCAAAAGAAGATACTAAGAAAAACCGAAAGAGAAAACCAATTAACCACAAGCCAGCTAGAAAACAACTAAGCAAAGATTATGAGCCACATTAAACCACACCCAATATATACCCAATCTGACATGTTTTCTCTACACATGTCCACAAAACATGGCACTTTGGCAACACAAACTATGCATCTCATATCTACTAATCCTTTGCTTGGCCACTGTGGTTTCTTCACACAGCAGGTCTTACACAACTCCAAGTGTCACACGCTTGACTGATTCTTTCCCACGTGTACCGGTTGATCGTGCTTTTTCTAAGGCTTTTGGGGCCTCAAATGTCCAATTTCTCAGTAATGGGTCCACGGCCACACTGGCTCTTGACAAAATCTCAGGTTAATATGAAGAAGCTCTTCAAGTTATTAGAGTTTTTAAACTTTCTATTTTGTCATTTCTAACACTTCAAAACATGAGCTATTTTTTTTTTTCAATAGGCTCTGGCTTGGTTTCACAAAGCAGATACTACTATGGATTCTTCAGTGCTGCAATCAAATTACCTTCTGGTTTGTCACCTGGAGTTGTAGTTGCTTTTTATGTAAGCTCATTGCTTCTTTGCTTAATGGTCACTCTTAGAGTTTGTTTAGATATAATTATATAAATTATAAGTGTTTTTTAGAGTATTTTACTAAAAATAAAATATTTTATTTTCGATATAAACTCTAAAAAATTCTCTTAAGTTTGTATCTAATCAGGTTTTACTTCATTGACAGTGACAATATTTCTTACTATTTTATTACCTTTGAGGTTATATGTTTTCAAGAAATTAACTAGAGAAAACATCAGTTGTCAAATTCAGATAAATACCCTCACAACCATGATGAGATAGATATCGAACTGCTTGGTCATGATAAGAGAAATGATTGGGTTCTTCAAACAAATCTCTATGCCAATGGAAGTGTCAGCACAGGGAGAGAAGAGAAATTCTATTTCTGGTTCGACCCAACACAACAGTACCATTATTACAGCATCTTGTGGAACAGTTATCACACAGTGTAAGTAAGATAAGTCTTGCTTCAGTCTTGAAATTAAAAGAATACCAGGATGGAATGACTTATTAAGAGTAGGAATAATAAAATTGAACCTTTAGGCTTACTAATAAAAATTTATTTACTATTTCTCTTTATAAAGAATAAAAGACTATATTAATAAAAAAAATTCAACAGGCACTTTTTTCTCATTTATTTTTTTTTAATTTATTTTAAACCTAACATAGAATTGAACCTACTTTAGTTTGATTAACATTTAGTTAGTAATAGGCAAGTAGATAACCCAATTGTGGATTTTGTAGGTTCTTGGTGGACAATGTTCCAGTGAGGGAATTCATACATAGCAACACATATCCTTCTATTTATCCATCAAAGCCAATGTCAGTGTATGCCACAATATGGGATGGTTCAGAATGGGCTACTCATGGAGGCAAATACCCAGTTAACTACAAGTATGCACCATTTGTTGCTTCATTTTCACAAATAGAACTCAGTGGCTGCATATCTGATCCCACAGCACCAGTTTCTTCATGCTCTAAGGTCAATTCAGGCCAAGACCCAGTTAATGGACCAGAGTTTACTAAGCTGTCACAGCAGCAGATAGCAGCTATGGATTGGGCAAGAAGGAAACTCATGTTCTACTCTTACTGCAATGACAGATCCAGATTCAAAGTCATGCCACCAGAATGCCATTAACAAACATTATTTGAGAAAAATTATGAAAAGAGAATTCCTGAAATAAGTATTTATAAATTATCATTAACACCAATTTTTTATTTTCGATTATCATGAAGGAAGCAATAATCATACTTTATATAAATTACATCTTTTCATTCCTTCATGGTAAAGATTTTTCTGGAATTCTCTTTTCATAATTTTTCTAATGAATTATAGTCTTTACCTCTTTTGAAAAAAAAAAGTTTTTTATTTTCACCCGAGTGGGGGATAATATATAATATTGTTGTAAGTTCAATTCTTTGGCTCAATAATCGAAGGCAGGTGTCAGAAAGAACACTTCAACAGAAAATGGGCAAAGTATATCATATTTTATTGGATGACCATCCACTAGGTGTTTATATCATATTTTAAATAATCATTCCTTATATATTAAATAGGGTTTCTATTTTGTATAAAACTATTTTTAGAAATTAAAAATGTATATATATTTATTAATTTTTAACTAATTTAATTTTTATTATCATAATTATTTATAAACTAAATATTAATATTTTAAAATGATTTATCAATAAATAAAAACATTTTTTTAATAATATAAATTATTTATCATAAATTTAAAATATAATTTATATGTTAAAAAATAGGCTTAAATATGTTTTTAGTCCCTCAAATTTAAGATAAATTTATTTTTGGTCCCTCAAATTTAAAATTATTATTTTTAGTTCTTGTAATTTTTAAAAATTTTGTTTTATTCCCTTAGGTCACCAATAACATATTTGAAAGTGACTAATTAAGATAGTTACGCAATATCAATCGAATTTAATGTGATATTTTCACCAATAGAGGTAACAATAGGTAGATTTTATGTAATAATATTTGATAAATTTCTTAACAAAATTTGAATATAAAGACTAAAATAAGATTTTTTGAAATTACGGAGACTAAAAATAATAATTTTAAATTTAAGGGACTAAAAATAGATTTACTCTAAATTTGAGGAACTAAAAACATATTTAAATCTAAAAAATATTTATGTATACGAATTTTAAATATAATTTTATATTCAAACATAATATTTATTTAATATATAATTTATTATAAATTTTAATTATATATAATAAATATGTGTCCGTGTTATACAATTAAAATACTAGTTCATAAGTAATTTCTTGTAATTTTATTCTAATAGTAAAATTTTAAGTAACTTTTTTCTACTTACATATTTATATTTTCTTTATTGTACTGAACCTTGCAAAGAAACAATTTTTTATGTTAAGGAACTGTATCTTACATAAAATATGGTATTGGAAATTAAACAATTCTTGATGTCTCCTAAATTGTTTCCAATTAAAAAAAATAAATTAAAATATAAGAACTTAAATTTAAAAATACACTTGAGATATAACCGTTGTAAATGGTGTAATATATTAGATATGTATCTATGCCGATTCATGTACCCAGACATACAAGTGCTAATTAACACTTTAGTCTAGTTTCGTCGTATATGACTAGACACCATAACCCACAATGCATGGAATTACAAATTCTAATGCGATTCAGAGGCATTATATGAAATTTGATCTTAACCAAGTGAGGCCCATTGTGATCATAGCCCAACTATTAGTCCTCAAACCTCAAGAAAACATTATTGTGGCTATGGTACAAATCTGTGGGGTTGTGAGCCTATGACTAATTAATTGAGAAAAAAAAAAACTCTAGCTTTTGCTAGATATCATATGTTTCTTCCACAAGAAACGATCTTATTTGAATTGAGTATGACTACTATACATAATAAAATTCTTCTTCAAATATTTAACAATTATGCCGAATTCAAACTTTATGACATCTAATTAAATTGAAACAACAGCTTGGTATTTAATCCACACATTGGGTGATAAAGAAAACATTGTACTCGTTAGTTGTTGTATTTCAAATGGTTTATACGGTTTTCGGCTCAATAAATAATTTGGGAGAAATAAGAATATGAACCTAAAATAGAGAAAAGACACGAAACAATAATTGCGTCCTTAGGCACGGCATCTTAATGGGGTTATATGCCGAATGAGCGGCATACAATGTGCCCAGACAGCTGAATTTGCAGTATAGCTAGCTGCCTAGCTTTCTTCATTTGAAGTGGCAACCTTTATCAATCAACAAACATCTAGTAGGGTTATGCTTCGCCTAGTTGTGCTGTACTTAGCTAGTTGATCCAATGTATTCAAAACTGGACATGTTCACATATTTATTTATTTTTTAACCATACTATTGATATAAAGTATTCTTGAATAACTAATCTACTTCAAGAAACTTAGTGTTAACCACCTTTAATGGAGTTTCTCCTTTTAACCATGTTTTTTCATATACTAGACTTGAAACTGATATCTTATTTAAGGGGAATCAAGTTTAGTACCACTTAGACCAACAATTTGTTTGTACATATTTATCCATTTAATTGTGTTTAAATTATGGATAAATTGCTAATAATTAAATTTATATTTTAATATTAATATACATTAATATAAATGACTTAATTCCTATGTGTAATTCTTAAACTAATTTAAAAATAAGTACCTATTTCTTTAAGACGAGTTAATTAGGTTTAACCTAATCATTTTATTTTGCTATTTTGCATTTTAATCTTAAAAAAGTGATTTGAAACCTAACTTAACCCTACAAAATTGACTTGTAAGATGAGAGTTTCCTTCCACTTAAACTCTTTGTCTTATCTCTAGTCAATATGAAACTTGAATTTTTTTCTTCTTCCAATACTTAGAACCTTCATCAGAATGTTATGATCTCAAAGAGCAACCTTGAGGAGAATGTGGTTGCTACATTTTTGTCTTATAACCTTACTTTAGAGTTTTGCTTATTCAAGTAAAGGGGAGTGAATTGTCTCACTTATGTATATAGTGAGGGTTGTGGGTTAAGGTAGGGTTGGATATGAGTTGAGCTAAGATGATCTCAATGCAATTGAGTTCGACTCGCTAATATTTGATTTAACTCTCAGCTCGACTCAAGTTCGACATGAACTTTCTTTTCCAACTCAAACTTGACTCATTTCATGCTCAGAAATATCTTTTCCAACTTGTTAGCTTGAATCACATGATCCACAAGTCAAATATCTTGAATCTGATACATGTAGGTGTTGTTATTCGAGCTATGAAACTTGAAATCATAAAGAGAAGTTTTGCAGCTCAAAGTATAAGGTTTTCTCCTATCCTCTTACATTTCTCTATTTTTGAAGCAATTGAGGTAAGGAAAATTTGTAAATCTTGGTTATTCTTAAATGTAGAACGTTGATTCAGTTGTAAAGTTGGCTCATTGGTGGCATTTATGTTGAGAATGAATGATTTTTATGTTGTTGGATATTAGGGTTTTTCAGAGTTTGAAGATGGGTTTATGATTTTGAACTTGTTTATTGTTGAGTGTTGTTGTTATGGTAGTTTTTAAGTTACTTGAACTATAGAGATTAAAATTTCATGGTTTGCATGTGTTGATGATGGGCAGTGGTGGCTAATAAAGTAGAGAGAAGGCAAGTTTAATGGTGGAACCCTATTTTCTCACCCAACAAGAAGTGCTACTTGCTTGGCGTGCATCCATAGACAAAGAATAACTACCCAAAATCGCATTCTTGCTCAGTGATGAGAGTGTTTCTCAACGAGAAAATGACTTTGTAGGTGGCCCTGTGTGAGAGCTTGCCCAACGAGTCATAGAGCATCTAGCAAGAGAACCTACAAAGAGTTCTACTCACTTAGCGAGCTATGGTTTCTCGATGATAGGATCCACAAAGGGTCAAGATTGCCTAGCGCAAGCTCCAAAGGAGTTTGGTTGCCAACAAGACTACTTCGCACCCAGTGAAACCCTTGTTGTGAACATGATATGTTATTATATCTATATATGTTGTTTTAATGTAAGTAAGTTGATAGTTGACCATTGTATATAGTATATTGGAATTAGGGATGAAAATAGGTCAGACCAGGCTTTGAATATAGGTTGGGTTTATTCTACAAAATTAAAGTCTAAGTTTGACCTATTATCTATCATAGACTTTTTTATAGGTCTAGCCTAACCTTTTTAAAGTCTAGCTTAGTATATTAGCCTATTTAAAAACCTATTTAAATTATTAATGTTAATGAGGCCAATAAACTTAATTTTTAAAAGTCAACAAAATTATTTTAAAAATATAATTTACTCAATATCATTAAAATTTAAATTTTAAAATAAATATAGGAAAAAAATTGAATCATTTTCTATTGAAGGATAAATTCATTGTAACCATATATGTTGATGTACACTCTTGCATAGGTTATATGTTTATTAAAAAAAATAATTGTATAAAAAACTTATTTTGAATATTGATAATTTATTTTTGTTTTATAATTTTTTGTTTATTTATATTTTTTAATAATAATATATATATTAATATTTATCATATCATATAAATAAATAGACTGATGTATCAAGCCTAACACGTTTTTCTATAAGCCTTAGCCTGATCTTTTTATATAAATAAGTTTTTTTTAAAGCTTAAACTTGACATTTTTATTAAATAGGTTAGAGCAGGTCAGGCTTTAAAAAGGCCAGGCCATAGACCCCTGTTTGAGGTTTGACCTATTCCCATCCCTAATTGGAATATGTTGTTTTATGTTGAATGTTTTATGTTGTAATATGAATTGAAAAATGTTTTAGTGGGTTGTTAATGATGAATGTTGAATGAGATGCAATTGTTTAAGTTATAACTAAGTTGATATATGTTATGTTGATAGATGTATAATGCTTGTTATTGTAAAGTTAAACTTAAAACTAAAGGAGAATAAGTTGTTTTATGTGTTGAGAGAACCCATTATGAGGATCTGGTTGTGGTGCTCTATGAGCCCAAATGATGAAAACCCATTAGAGAAAAAGTTAACTCTTGAAAAGAAGAGTTATTTTTTAAAGTTGTCTCCTCTAGCTTCTTAGCTAATATAATATGGGAGTTAGGTCGAGTCATATTACTTATGAAGTGACCAATAGAGTAAGGTACGAAGTTAGGGGGCCAAAATCCCTAACTGAGTGCTAGAAGGGTGTGTGGTACCAAAAGGATAGGCAGCAGACCAATTCTGTATTGAGACTTGGTTATTGCATGTCAATTGTAATGAGCCTATACCCAAGTTGTATTATACCTAATGGTGGTATTGGAATTTTCTATTTTAAATGGCGATATCCAAGAAGCCTTTTTTGTGTTGTTAATGGATTTTAAGCCAAATCTAAGTTGTTTTGACCTAGAGAAGAAAGGTTACTTGAATTGTTGATTCAATATGGTTAAGTCACTTAAACAACTTGCCAATGTTATAGGAGATCTCCTAGTTAAAATGTGAGATGACATGTTAGTAGTGAAGGGCAT